TTTGTTTGCGCCTATAATGCTCTGCTTTTTTGTTCTCCAAAGCACCCATATTTTGATTTGAATATCTTTGGCACATCAAGTAAATATCATATATACGATTAGTTAAGATATACTAAGAATCCATTAAAGCAAAGTGCTGATGAAAATCAAATCAAAACAGACCCTAGAAAGAAGATAAGTTCAAACCAAGACAACGAAGAGAATCCAACAAAAAGATAAACACAGTAACTAGGGACATAAGTGAGCAAGAGTGTTCACAATCTGATTCATGTAACTAGGAGAACCAAAGTTTGTTATTCATCCGTGAGCTGGTAGTTGTTAAGAAAACGTGACCTTAATCTTGATCTTGGATGGAGCACTAACTTTTTCTCCTTGTTGCAAGGCCTTTCCGAGAATGAAGTTTCACCGACTCAAGACATGGCAGCTTCCCTAAAAAATGGTTTAATTGCTCCACCTCTCCAGCAGTTCCATGGTATTCGGTTATCTGTAGGACTTTCAAAGGACATGACAATAGAAAAGAATATCCCTACAGGCACTTGCAAACAGATTCAGGAGTTTCTTCATCGTAGTGCAATGGACCCTGAAACAAGAGAGACAATGAAAATCAAGGAGTATCTACAAGGTTTTGCATTTTTCCAATGAACTTTGGAGGTTTTGGACAAACATCGATAATAAGTGTCTCTAGATTTAGAGTCATCTTTAGCAAAAATGGTAGAAATTCCCAACAAGTCCCCACATCACAAGGTGTAATAGTTAAATGATATAGGTTTTGAAACACCGGGATTGCTTCATGGAAGTAATAAAACGCCTGAAACAAAAACAAAAAAAACCACACTTCAACTTGTTGCAGTATTTGGATCAAAACAAGAAACATTCCTATATACCAGACAATTGGAACATTCTATTGAACTTAAGATTGATTCTTATACCTCAGGAAGCGAAACTATGACATCTCAATGATTAATGATTATCTTCTTCATCTTTCTTTTTGAACTCAAATTGTAATAACATGTTACAGAGAACAAATAAACAATATCACACTTACCTGGAAAGTCTCAAAAGATATTAAGTCCATTATGAACATTTCTTAACCCCTTGATCAGATTTGTTGGATTGCTAGAAATAACATCGTCCTCACGTACATATCCATCGTGGGTGTGATCTACCGTCAACATAAAATACAACTCGGCTTCGACAAGGGAGTCGAGGTTAACAACTGGATACTCATCCTGAACAACATCATAGCACTTGAAATAGGTAAGACTTGGAGTATTTAAAGTTATTCCCGTCAAACCAGACTCAAGGATATCTCCACAATGAATAGTGAGTCTTTGAAGGGTTGGATTAGAAATGTTGCGAGACCACTTCCAACGTTTCCATTCCATACTCTCTTCTATGATTAATTCCTTAAGCACATGGCAAGCAGAAAGAAGCTTTTCAAACGCACAACCACAACGATCTCTGAATCGAACTGAGTCAATAATGAGGGTCTCAAGTGCTGGTAGAGAAGCATTCTCAGGGAGAACAACAACAGCAAAACGACTCCCATAAACACTCCCCAGTTTCAGCTTAAAAATTGTCTTGCAAGTGAAAACCTCAAAGGGAAGTGAATATCGATTCCCAACATGCATGTAAAGTTCAAGATCCAAGACACCATGCTTCAGGACAGCACACAGACAACGGTTGACATGATCATACTGAGCTAGCTCAATTCCATTGCAACATTTAAGAGAGAATTTTCTGATGCGAGAACTGGCTGGCAAAGCCAAAACTCCATTCAAGAAATCGGTAAAACTCCCTTGAATTGTAGCGCTTTCATCAAACACAAGATTTGATATGATACTGTAGAGATTAAGAAACCTCTTGGAGAGAACCGTTATGAAAGCAGCTTCCTTTGCAGAAAGGAAGGACACAATGTGACAAATAATCTGATTTGGTAAACTACTGATCCTATCCATCCTCTTACCAAACCCTANAGAAAAAAAAAAAAAAACTCAATTAACTGCAATGGAGATTTCAAAGCACAATATCAATATACATACTATATATCAGCCACTGCAAAAATCTAAAAACAAAGAGATAGGTCACATGATGATTATCTGGTAAGAAAACTAGTTTCAGATTGGAGATAAAAACACTTTACATAAATAAATAAAAAGACCGACAATACTAAAGGGAAACAAAACAAAGAAACAAGATTACAAGAGAAAGATATGAGAATTTTTTTACACCAACCTTGCTACAAACACGAGGGCAGAATAAAAAAACTACAAAGTTTGAGTTCGAGAGAGGACATGCAAATGCATCTGAGAAGCTGAAACATCCAAAGTAAAAGTAATAATAAGACAAGAAAACGAAGCGTCTAATAAGAAAAATGCACACGCTTTTGTGCTTCACATCGCTACATCCACGTGGCATACATTCATACATAGTCAAACAAGAAGAAAAATAAATTGCGGTTTAAAGATTGGTTATAATTTTTTGAGGGAAAACGGTCATTTTAATACCGAACTGTCCGGTTTACGTAAAACAAATACTAATTTATTAATAAGTCAGAAAAAAACACAAACTTGTGTTGATTCAGCCAAATTAAGTATAAATTAATCAATTTTAACAATCATTTACTATAATCATTAAGCCTCAAAACGACAATATTTTGAGATTAGGAAAAATGGTCATTTAAATACCAAACTCTCCGTTTTGCGCTAAAAACATACTTCTTAATATGTCATAAAACACACAAACTTATATTGACTCGGCCAATTTAGGTATAAAATTAGTCAACTATAGACCGGACCCCATGTCCGAATACATGGAGAGACGAGACCCTATGAAGCCTAGCCTGAGTCCAGCAACTTGTTAGGGCACAAAATCCTTGAAAGCCGTAGCATGACTTTGGATATCTATTAAAAAACACATAATAGATTATACAATTGTTAGGCGCATCCAAGGTCAGGATTACGTCTAATGTCCCATGAGTACTGTAAAATGAAAAAAAACTAACGACCCCCAACAGAGCGATGATGTTACTCACGCTACAACCTTGGAGGGTCTCGTCTCTCCATGTCTCCAGACTCGGGCTCTGATCTAAAGTTGACTAATATTATACTTAATTTGGCCAAGTCAACATAAGTTGTGTATTTTATAACTCATTAAGAAGTTGGTATTTGTTTTGGTGTAAAACGGAGAGTTCGATATTTAAATTACCTTTTTTTCTAATCTCAAAATGACGTTGCTTTGAAACTTAACGGTCACAGTAAACGGGGTTAACGTTTTTTAAAGAGCTATTAAAGTTGACTAATTTTATACCTAATTTGGTCGAGTCAACACAAGCTTGTGCTTTTAATGACTTACTAACAAGTTGGTATTTATTTTGGCGCAAACCGGTTAGTTCGGTACTAAAATGACCGTTTTCCCAATTTCTTTGTTTATTACTGGTT